AGGAAAGGCTATGAAGATATGTCATTCGTCGTCGCCGTCGCTTTGAAATTCTCAGTCAGCAGCTGAATTAACATTTAGAAACATGCAGGAGCAGGCGCGATTAGGCGCTAGAGGATGGATTGTTATATAACTATGTTCACTGCTCTACCGATGAGCACGACAAGACCTACAAGTTGTACATTCTAGTGAGTAAGATCCACGGATAAATGAGTGCCACAATTCTGATCACATCTATTTGTAAAATGTCAGTGATGAGCGCTGAGCGCAGAGGATCCGGAATCTGCGCACTGCGCAGGGAGACGAACGTAGTGGACGGATATTGCATGGACGACGGCATGCCAACGGTCCTTGAAGGGAGCTGATGATCCACCGTGTGGTGATATTAACCACGAGCCTGGCATGAGGTGCACTTTGTCGCACAGTATTGTACGTTTTTTTGCCACAACTCGACGTCGCTATCTTGGTACGATTAGTGTGGCACATTACACCGCTTAAGAGATGTAATCATATCGTACACAGACGGCAGAAAAGTTGAGGGTACAACGAATTCAATACCCATACATTACGTCATCAATCAAGATCCAATAATTTGACGCATAAAAGCGGTACACCACTCCTCCATGCACTCTCTGTATCTTTCCGCTGCTCTCCTTCCTCATCGTCCGTTGTAGCGCTTAGCTCGCTCTATCTCTCGCCGCCAAGCTCGACGTTGAGCTCGATACCAGGACCTGCCCTCGATACAAATAAATGGAACGGTGAGCAGCCATGCAGTATCAAGATCGGACTGGAACTGATTAGGACACTACCAGATACTCCAAGGTAGAGAAAGTTGGTGCGTGGCGACCGTTGTGCTCGTTTCCGAAGGTGTTGATGATTCCGGGCTGGGCGTTGCTGCAGGCGAAGGTACGACACACTGCTCTATCGATGACGACTCCGCTGACGACCTCTAACCGGCAGGCACGTATGGCGTCGTATACAAAGCCCGGGATACCAGCACCAATCAGATAGTCGCCCTCAAGAAAATCAGGCTTGAGGCCGAGGACGAGGGCGTACCCAGCACCGCCATCCGGGAGATTAGTCTCCTCAAAGAGCTCAAGGACGACCATGTCGTTCGGTACGTTTCAAGGTCTAACTCATCATTATCGGTTCTCAGTTTCTTATCCAGTCTTCTTGACATCGTTCATGCTGACCAGAAGCTCTATCTGGTCTTCGAATTCCTCGACGTCGACCTGAAGCGATATATGGACCTTGCCAACAAAAATCATACTCCTATTACGCTGGAAATGTCCAAGGTACAGTTGCCACCATTCTCCATGACTTTGTGAGCGCCCTATCCATCCGACACTCCCGATGCGAAATTTTCGACGCGTCTGACGCGAGATTTCGGCCGGAATGACTGTCCAGGGGTGACGGGCGCTGTCCTTGCACGCCCATATATCTCTGCTTTTGATTCCGGTACAACTCCTAGGCGTCTTGTTCTACCTATATCTGGGACTATTGTGCTACCCCTTGGAGTCTTCCTACTTCCACGGGTGGCTTTCCTCGTCTGCGGAACAATATCACGTGACCAGGACGCGTTCCTTTTTTTCTTCCAATCTGTCTCCTATCACGCGTTCTAATCTATACATTCTGGTCGTAGAAATTTTTTCACCAGCTGAATTCCGGTTTACTCTATTGCCATTCTCATCGGATCCTCCATCGAGATTTGAAGCCCCAGAATCTCCTCATCGACAAGCACAATAATCTTAAGTTGGCAGACTTTGGGCTTGCTCGCGCCTTCGGGATACCCATGCGAACATATACCCATGAGGTAAGACGAGCGCTATTATCAGTCATCAAGTGTTCCTAACCATGCTACTCGCCAGGTGGTTACCCTTTGGTATCGGGCCCCTGAAGTTCTCCTAGGCTCCCGTCATTACTCAACTGCTATCGATATGTGGTCTGTCGGAGCCATCTTTGCTGAGATGGCTTGTCAAGGACAGCCACTCTTCCCAGGAGACTCTGAAATCGATCAAATTTTCAAGATTTTCAGGTACCTTCCTCCTCGGAAATTTGTTACTTGCGAGTCTAACAGGCGCATCGCCTTAGAATTTTGGGCACTCCGAACGAAGACATGTGGCCTGGTGTTTCCAATCTGCCTGATTATAAGGCTACTTTCCCCCGTTGGGGCGTCCAAGATATCTCTAGACTTGTCCCCGATCTGGACCCCGCTGGGATTGATATTCTTAGAGTTCGTTGATTCCTCCCTATCTCATCAAGCTTATCTTTTGATAAATTCTGAAACGATCAGCGTCTTCTCCATTACGATTCTGCGAGGCGTATTTCAGGTGTGTGCATTAATTGCAGTTCCCATCTGTTAATTTGTCTGACATCCCTGCCCAGCCAAACGTGTCTTGCAACATCCTTACTTCGCTGGCTACAATCCAGATGCCTAATGCGATCATCTCATGCAGTGCGCCTTGTCCCATTGTTTCCTCATTCGCATTCGTCGGTTCAACATATGTGACTTCCTCCTTTCCCGGAGTTTCTGTTTCTTTCTCATAGCATCGCATTTGCATTCATTCATCAAACTTATGCCAACTGTTGCTTGCCATCCACCCACGTACATCAGTTTGTAATAGTATTATTGTTCCACCGGCAAGCCTTTGCTTATTATCCTCATTCACACATAATCGTCAGGCCAGGGCCTCTAAAATACATTTTTATCAATATATACCGAACAATATGGGGTATTATTTTATGCTAGCCCGCAACTAAATACATGGTATCCTGTTCCACCCGGTACCTCATTATTGACTGTTTTCACCTTCACGGTTCGTTATCCTCATCGATGTACTCAAACTGAGCTAGCTCAATCTGGAACATATGCAAAGCCCTTTTCTCGGCCATCCCAGCGACGTTGAGAACCAGCCGTGTCACTGTCATGGTGGTCGAACACCAGATAAAACTGTTTGCGATCAAGTTAGTTCGCTCCGTTACGCGAGTAGATCAACGCACAATATTCCCAGAAAAATAAGAGAGAGCTGAACAGGGCTGTGAGCACATAGAGCGGACCCGATAGACGATGTCTTACCGGTGCGACAAAAGATAGAATGAGATTCATTAATCGAAGAACTGAGGCGGCGCTTAGCATGGCAACGAAAAGACCCAGAGACGTGGCTCAAGGGACTAACCAAAGACAACCTAGGTGGAACAAAAAGGTGATTAAAATGTTGCGTTACATGGGAACAGAGACGCGAGCTGACCAGAATATACGCAAATCCATCTCTGTAAAGGACTTTGGTGAAATCATCCTCCAGATATCGAGGTCGGGAGAGCGCGTTCCAGAATAAAGCAGAAAATATGACAGCTTCGAACGCCACCTAGTCGTCGTACCCAAAACGGCGTCAGACCGAAATTCGAGGAGAGCAAAGAATATGGCAGACTTACCCCTGGTGCCCAAATAATTCCGGCCGAGTGGCGGTCTGTGAGCATGCACATTGAGAAAGTGGGATTGAAGTAGACAGATTCTGATAATGGGAACGAAGATAAGCTTGGGTCCGAGAACATACCCACTGGAGGACTCACCGGTGATATGTAGAAGGGCGAACATCAGGCAAATGAGGTTGGCTATCTGGGTTGCCACGAACAGGCATGAGGTTAAGATCATGAGCCGTCCGTCTCTGTCCCAGAGATTCCATATATGCATAAGGGCCAGGACTGCGTACGACGGATGAGAACGGAATCAATAATAAGTGACAAGTTCGGTTTACAATTTCCTATGGCGATGGTGATGATACCCATGGAGGCCTACAGATAGATGTACATCAGAGATAGCCCTGTTCAACAGCAGAGACGAGACTCACGGATACATTAAACCAGACTTTACAGCTGGTCCGTTCGTTGCTGGTATCAGGTTCGAACTAAAGTTTGAAGACCGAAAAGACTTACAACTATTAAGGAGCCATCAGTATATCCGTATACACAAACCGACCGAAGGAAGTAACCACCATATCGGAGAAAGTGCTCAGTCCTGTCAGCTCTGCGAAAATTCATTCACACGTCAAATCGTTGAATTGCCGGAGGGTGATCCTGGAGCAACTTACGGCAGAGGTGGATAAGGACGAAGGCTGGAACGAAATACCGGATGATAAGAAAGAGTGTCTTGGGTAACGTCCATGGAGCCGCCCATATGAACCTAACCTCCTTGTCGAACGTTAATATGTGGTCGTAAAGCATAAGCTGACCCAATGAGCATCCTAGCCACCGCGTAAAGGTAAAGTCCAGCTTACCACGTAGCCGGCAACTGTTGAAATATGAACATCAAAATGGAAATACAAGACACGTCTGGTAACAACGACTCACTGCTTGCATATCTCGACGCATATACATTGAATGCAACGGCGGTGTATTCCTGGGCGTCCATATTGGAGTCTGGACAACGACGTCCGGGGCCCGTAGGTGAGCTCCCTCACACACACGTAGCAGTCACCTAACCGAAGAAAAAGAAGGAAGGCACACACGTCGGACAGACGACAAAACCCCATTTATGAATCTCGATGACAAAACTTTTTGGTAATTGGTCGAATTTCCACGGGGTCGGGAGACTGGACTGTGGCGTACGCAGTTTACGTCTTCCATTGCGCGCTATTAGCTCTGCCATCACTGCGGCGGAGATTTCACAGGGAGAAATGCTCGGATGCGGTGCAAGTATGATCCTTGCTCAGGTTCAGGACGCTGAGAGTTGGAAACTTTGGCATTTTCGACGGGGTATTTGAGTAACGGCTTGGTGGATAAAGTTCCGAGCAGTGAGAATGTATGCTTGACTCACGATGACTCGGAGGAGTCTTCAGGCAAGGAGATACGGTGTTCACAATACTATTTCGTGTCCTTGCAGGGGTAGCGATGACAACGCGAACGTAAGAGTCACAGACCGGGACGAAGTTTCCGAGCGCCTGTCAAAGAAGTCCTAGCACAATTCAGGCACGCAAAATAGCAACTCCAGTAGTAGCCAGGAGTGATCGGATATGGTGTAACGGCTAACATTGCCGCCTCTCACGAAATGGTAGACCGCGCGGCAGCTCGGGGTTCGATTCCCCGTATCCGAATTTTTTACTTGCAGAGTAGCGCAATTAATAGAATCAAGATATTGGCAATTTTGAATTGCTTCGTACTGTTCATTGATGATCGATCAGCATTGAACGGAACGTTCTCTACTGGAGCCACAGGCTGCAATTAAATCGGATAACATAAAATAGAGATTCAAAAATCAAAAGCAAAGTTAGCAAACTAACAAGTTTAGTTACCGTAGTCCTAGTGTAAGTTGGTAATGGTGTAGGACGTAGTTTCGTGATATGATGATGAAATCCTGTTTTGAGTATTCACGCCCTTTAGGGCGTATGTAGTGTGCATACAATCTGTGACTTTCTAACACTCTTGGGACAGAGATGAGTTCGTAAACTAGTTCTAACGTCGTCTTTTATCACATCGTAATATATCTATATGTTTGTATAGTAGTAATATGCTTGGATACGAAGCAAATATACCGCAGTTCATGTAGAAGGAATCATATAATAGAGAAGAGAACGATATATCAATCGCTTGAGATCAGCAAAATTACCACCAGCTGCTCTTTCGATACTGGCAGCAGCCATTTTTTCCACCTTATTCTGCGCACGGTCCCTTCCTCCTGCCATCTACCATGAACTCCACCACAAGCTGCTCTTTCCAGCCGATTGCCCACTCACGCGCTTGCCTTTTCTCTTCATACCGCTATGTCCATATAACCCACATTCGGCTACTCACGAGAATCAGAGCGAGGATGATATTCTTTAGTCTGTATAACTCGACGAGATAACTATGAAGCCGAGTATGATGGATAATAATAACGGGCAACGAAGTCCACCCTTGCTTACAATGACGTATACCCATGACGATGCTCTCGGACTAATATTCTGTTTCTGTTTTCGTCCCATTCTGCCTCCGCCTCGTATAAATAGCCCACTTTCATAGAACTTCCCATTCTTGCTTTCTCTCCTTCCCTCACGTAGACGTCTGTATCTCTTTCTCCAATACGCTCGTAGGTGTAATTTTAAAGGTCTCCGCCTTCTGCGACGGTAATGGTTTCTTTTCGGTGACTCCCATGATCTTTGCATGGTATTGTCTGGCCTTCGCTGCACGATCCGTGACCAGCCCTCGCTTCGCCAAGCTACCCGGACGCTTCTCCTCACGGACTTTCTCGTATCCCTCTTTCTTCCCGGTCCACCACTGCGTCTCAGCCTCGTATAGACCGCTTGGGAAGAGCTCGCTGACCAAGGACCTGCCGACTTTGGGATAGTCTTCCTCGAGGTCCATCAGCGCGTCCATGACTTCTTCCTGCTGGTACTCTTCTACCTTTTCCAGGTGGATCCCGCTCGTGTTGATGTGCCGCTCGGTCCCCGCCACCAAGACGTTCTGTACCATGCCCAGACATCCGACGCCCAACAGGTACCACGTATCTTGCTTGATTGCAGTGACGGTGATGAGAAAGACAATCCAGAGTGTTGCGAGCGTCAGACATGCGACCTGGGTGAACAAGAACGTGCAAGTGTCGTCCTTTCCGCGCGGTCTCATTCTTGGTGGCTCTGCCGCTGCCAGATCCTCAAGATCCAAGCCTACTCCCCGCCCAAGTATCACCATCACATGCCTGGTCCCGTTCCCGCCTGTAACGCTCACCACTTTATTCGTCTTCCGCCGACACGCCCACTTTTCGGATCGCCACTGGGGAAGTGCACCCGTCGCCCAGGCGAGCAGTGTCCCTGCGGCGGTGATCAATAGAATCGACCAGTTTCGGTTTCGCACACGGGGGATGACAGCGACACCGAACTGAACGAGGATAATGAGCAGACCGCTCCACCACCACAGATCCCTGCTCGGTATCCCTGCCAAATCTGCGTGGACAGCCTCGAATACGGTGATGTTCATCCCTACATTGTCACGCAGCGGCCTCTGAAAGTCGCGCAACAGCCGGCCGAGAACCCACGACTTGTTATCGCGCTTATAGCCGTTCTGTGCGTTGATGACCATGGCTGGGTAGTCAGGCGGGGGTACAAGACGTCCGTCGCCGAAGACGTTCATGAGCGCGTTGAACGAATACGAGACCCAGCCAAAGCTGAAGGCGATGGGAGTGAATGTACCACCTGCGAGCTGGGCTAGCGCCTTGAGGACGACGTCACCACCGATGATGAGAAGTATGGAGAGTGTGTCTGAGGGGTTCTGCCATGTACCCCGGATGGCTTGAGATGTCGAGTCCCTTTTTTGCATGGGGATGGCAGAGCATAGCACGACGTCTGTGAACAAGAAAAGTGGAGCAATCCGGGCGCCGCGGACAAGCATCATGGGTGAGAGCACGAAATACGTACGAATCTGCATTTATAAAGCTAATTCAAACACCGTCAAGGAACAGGGCCGGGGGCATCACTGAGGTTGTCACCACAAGACTACGTATCCCAGCAGTTCAGTGCCAATGCAGCGTGCTATTTCGGTCGGTGATTGGCACGACATCAAGCAGATAATGATCTCCAAGTGAACACGATCAAGCCCGGACCAGCTTCCGTGGGGCCAAAGGTGACGATCAATTTTCACCAGCAGCAGAAAATGATCGGAGTTTCGGAGCTTTTTGCCGTTCAATCATGTCCGAAAATGGTGATTCCACCTGTTGGACAATCATCATGCGATGCGGGTGCACAAGCTAGACCAGACTGTTGGTGTGTGTTACACGTTCACGTTGTTTTCATATTTATTTAACGTCAAGATAATACCAGATCTATACTTATCTGCTCCGTGGCCCACGCTCTGGTAAATGGACTTGATTAGTGGTGCCCTTTCTCTAGATCTCGGCTTTATCCTACTACCAGCATAGACGGATTTTTATCCTCTGTCACTCAGCCTTTGTGGACTCATACAAGTACATAAACCTAAATGCAACCAACACCCATAGCCAATGAAAATAGTGCGAGTGCAACGTGCCAGGATGCTGTTGTCATCACCACCTCAAGTTTTTCAAGTCCATGAAGTCACTGAGGGGAAGCACGACGGATACGTGATCCTACAGATGAAGAAGTACCTCGCACCATGGACGGGATGCTCGTCCATTGCAGCGCCTCAACACATCCGGGCTCCCCGAATCTGTCTTTTTACCCGAGAACCTCCCTGGACAGTGGAGGCAACACGCTCATTCCGCTACTTCTTTGGTGGCGACACGTTGCTCCTCCACCATCCAGAACGATATCAGAGCCTGCGGAAGAGGATTTGGCCTCCTTGGAGACGTTATTCTACAGATGGGCTTCTTTTCTGCACTTCACACTTGCACTGTTCCCTGTTCTCCCGACGTGAAAACCACCAGTTTCCGGTTGGCACTCTTCGCTTATGTGTTCCCCTAAAACTGGGCGACTTCTTTCCAGTGTCGTCCTTTTGCCCTCTTATCAAGGATGGCGTGCCGGTGTCCCATTGTCATCAAGCACTTCCTCGAAAGTATGCGGGTATCTGCAAGCCCTTCATCCGTCACGCACTGCGTTCAGAATACTCCATCTACACCAGGAAGCACGTTATAAGGACTTGTACTTGTGCCTATACAAAATCTCCTATATCAGTGGTGTACGATCTGCTACAAGGGGAAGGGATTCTAGTTGTCCGCTGTGCATCAAAATCGCTCTGCATACCCTCTACATCACGTCTAGGTGGATGGCCTCGGAAGTACCACTGAGGAGAGACTGCCCGCATGTCAGATCGAAAAGTTGGTCCATGTCTGTGGAGCCTTCTGTTTGGATTCGTTCTGCATCCTTAGAGATAAAGAAATGGCAGGATATCAGACAGATGGCGGTGGCCGACCCAGGCATCCGCTCTTGCTCGCTTTCCTCAGATACAGCACTAGGATGCAGCGCATCTGGACAACGAATCTGACCTTTGAACGTTTGAATTCTCAGATGGTTTTGTAAACCTCCTCCCCTTCAGTGCTTCTATCCTAGCGTCTCTCAGAATTTGTGAGACAACACAATCCCAGCTTCCCTAACTCTTTCACATCTTATGCGATTCATGGTGGGGAGACGGACGAGCAAACGTGGTATGAACACAGATCCCGCCACCTTATTTAACTTCGAGCGCTTGAAGACCCCTCATGCAACCCCGGCACCTGCCTGGGAATATTATTTTTCAAGATGGAAGAAGAGCCTAGGGCACCCAACCCAAGTCTTGGGCAACTGATTGCTCTGACTCTCGCGTGGGACCGAGCGGTTTGTACGGCAGAAGGGCTGTAGGCAGAGTACTGCTGCGCCTGAGTTCTAGGGAGTTTTTCATCAAACTCGCTCCCTGCACTACTAGGGGGGTGGGTTCATTCATTTTCATGTCTGGCTACTCGACATCCATGGACGAAATAATGAATTTTCCCGCCTCCCCGATCGCATGATAATTCTAGGCATAATTTATGTTTGGACACGAAGCAAATGTACAGTTCATGTAGAAGGAGTCATAGAATAATCAGTAGAAGGATGAAACCCATGTACAGTAGCAGCAGTACACTAATGAAACAAAACAAAGAACACAGAACGATATCAATTATTTGAGATCAGATAAATTACCACCAGCTGCTCTTTCGATACCAGCAGCCATCTTTTCTACCTTATTCTGTGCCCGGTCCTGTCTTCGTCTTCCTCGCGCCCTCCCGCCATCATCTTCCTCATCTTCAGCCTCCTGTTCTCCCACCATGAACTCTGCCACAAACTGTGCAATCGCCTTCTCTCCAACCTCGCTGTGCGCCCGGTTGCCCCACCGCCACTCATACGTCGCCCCGGAGTCTTCGTCTCCCTGGGTCGCACGCACACGCTTGCCCTTCCCCTTCTTCGCATCGCCCACCGCCACGCGCTCCACGAAGCCCTGCCGGATGATCATGTTCATGTACGCCTCCATTGGTATGCTCTTATGTGTCGCGTGGGCGTCGAACCTGACGGAACTGGACATGGGCTGACGGAGTTTCTTCAGATGCGCACGGAGCTCCGCGTCGCTCAACACTCGGCCACTCACGAGGATGAGGGCGAGGATGATGTAGAGGATCCCGAGGGAACCAATCTGGTCG